GAGTCTCCTGCCTCAGCCTCCCAAGTAGCTGGGACCATAGGTGTCTGCCACAACGCCCAGCTATTTTTTGGTTGCAGTTGTCATTGTTGTTTGGCAAGCTCAGGCTGGATTCGAACCCGCCACCTTAGGTGTATGTGGCTGGTGCCTTAGCCACTTGAGCCACAAGCGCTGAGCCAGGAGAATCTCTTGAGCCCAGAAGTTGGAATTGCTGCGAACTGTGATGCCACAGCACTCTACCCAGGGCTACAGCTTGAGACTCGTCTCAAAAAATAAATAAATAAAATAATTCCAGATTTTTTGCTCAAACCAGGAACTTGGCAATACATTTTGCTTTTACAAGCAGATTCTGCAATATTGGATTTTTGGAGATCTCACAGGTCTGCCCCAGAGAGCCTGCATTCAAACTTTAATTAATGCAAAGAGCAACCTGAACTTTGTTTTGTGTCTCATTATTTCTGAGGGTTTTGGACTTGAGTTGTTTCTGTTTGCTTTTGCCAGCTAGCCACAAACCTTGCTACATACTGTTCTATCTTCATTTTATAATTAGATCAGGTGTTAATCTCCTGCCCTTGAACTTCCAGGCCATTCCCATTTTGTACAACTATGCCAAGTCCTTTCTAGGTGACTGCCCCATCTGCTGTGCACATGCACTAACGAGGATTTTAAGCCCTATGTCTTCAGGCTGCTGGCTGACTTGCACACAGGTTTATCTACCTCAGCTGCTCTTAGGAGTCCTCTTTAGCTCAGGTGCCTAGCTCATTGTCCCCACTGCAGTATTCCGGTTGTGTGTGATGGTGGTGCTGGTCTGTCTTGTCTTTCTACAGTACTCCCAAGCCTCCACAGGCCTTTCTGTTGGTGGGATTCGTCAGCAATTCTCATTGCCCGAGAACATCCAGCTTTCCCTCTTTTCAGCCAGCTTTCTACGGAACATCAATGTACGTGCAATGATATTTTGGGCCTTGGGATGGTAACCCCTCCTTTCAGCCAAAGAGGGGAGCAGCCCAGCTGCTCAGGAAAGGGAGCAAGAGTACATTAGGCAACTAGAAGTGGGAAGCCTGGCTTTTCTTCCCAGTGGAGGTGACTTGACGCTTGGTGCTGTAGGTGAGGAAGACAGGGAAGCTGGTTAAGTCATTGTCTTGAGGACCCTCTCTTTGTACACAGGAGCATCTGGCTGTAGTTGATGACCCTCCTCTGGACCTTAAGTTCAACCCCTTGGGCTATCTCTTACTAGCATCAGAAAAGGGTGCTGCGACCATGGAGAACAACGTGAAAGTGCAGAGGTAAGTCCTCTGAGGCCTCCCAGCTGCATCAGAGCCTCATACTCAGCGACTCTTGCACCCTGATAGGGACTGGGAAGATAGAGTTGACACAACAGGTTCCTGCTATTCAGTCTGCCAGGAAAACAGACGCAGGCGGCTCGGCGCCTATAGCTCAACCGGCTAAGGCGCCAGCCACGTACACCTAAGGTGGCGGGTTCGAATCCCCAGCCCGGACCCGCCAAACAACA